AAAAAGAAAAAAAAAAGACAGAAGAGAGAGTGCAAAACAAGCCAACAGAAAAAGCAACTTGAAGGAAACAGGGCTTTGCGAGGCAAAACAAACTTTAAGAAACAGGCAGAGAGAACTTCAGAAAGTATAAGAGGCAACTGTAAATCAGGAGAAAGATAGTATTTAAAAAACCCTAACCATTCAGAGGAATAAAAGCAATCTTGGATTTTTGCAAGTCACTTTTTTTTCCTTTTGGAAAGTGGAAAGTTGTGTAAGAAATTGGAATTCATCATAGATTGCAACATAGATAAGAACTGTATTGACATGGTCAGAATATTTTAAATACTAAATGTGGATCAAAGCAAAATTATGCTGTAACTGTGTTGGAAGAGGGAGAAATGGGAGGGACACATGGCCTGACTGGGTTGGGGGAAGGTGAGCGTGAGATGCTTGTGTTTTATGAAGGACAGTCAATAGATGATGCCAAAAAAGTGGGAGGAAAAGTTTAAAAAAGGAGTTACACAAGTATGTAATTGACAATGTGGTCATAAATACCAAAATAACAACTACAACAGCTAAAAGAAGTGAAGAAGTTCCTCTGGCAGAGGGTACATGAGAGACTGGTACTTTTTTGTTTTGTTTTTGTTTTTTTCATAAAGCTTGAGAATTGTTAAAAAATTATATACACTGATAGCTTTGATAAAAATAAACAAACTTTTATATCACTACTGGAAATAGCATCATTTATGTAAAAGCAGAATTCCCAGATTGTTAAAAATATCTTATGCAGTTAGATCCTGAGCATGTATCAAAGTTTTATATAGCCCATAGACCAGGGAACAAACTGAGCAGCTAGGGCCCATTCAGAAGTATTTAGGATTCTTGATTTTTTGTGAGAGAATAGATGCTTGTATAAAATTGTCATTAGGTATAAGACAGTTGAACTTTCTACCGAGCAATAAAACTCTAAGTTTTGGCAAAGCAACAGGCATCACATTTGGTCATTTTTCTGCAAGGGACCCACTAACTCTACAAGGTTATAAAGGCAACTGTAAATCAGGAGAAAGATAGTATTTAAAAAACCCTAACTATTCAGAGGAATAAAAGCAATCTTGGATTTTTGCAAGTCACTTTTTTTTCCTTTTGGAAAGTGGAAAGTTGTGTAAGAAATGGGAATTCATCATAGGTTGCAACATGGATAAGAACTGTATTGACATGGTCAGAAAGTTTCCAGTTTCTAATCAGTTGTGGGTGGTTAATCAAAGTTATGTTTCCTGAGAGAGTGGAAGGATCTTTGGTTGGGTTTATCAGAAACGTTCCACTAAAAAGTCATGCAATACTCATTTTGCTTTGTTTCTAAGTCTTGAATTTTTTTCCTGTACATGTGCCATAAATATAACTAATTTTAAAAAATAAAAACAATGAAAACAAAACAATGTTATTAAGTTCTAACTAGATTCTGTTCACTGCCTTCTCTGACCCGAGGACGTTCCTCTTTGTTAGGAGGGTTAGGGTTTGCAAGAACTAGGGAGGTGTTAAAGAAATATTAACACCAAAGTGGGGTTTTTTCTACTTGGTATCATTAGAAAGGTTGAAAGAAAAATGAAAAAAGGGCATTTCTTTCACATAATTTGGTTTAGTGTTATGCAGTGCTGTGTCTGCGTGTTATTACTTAAAATATTCTCATGTTTGGTATGCTCTATTATTGTTCTGGAAATACTGCAGGAGACTAGTAATTTCTACATTACATTCTGCAAAGTCCTAGGGCTGGCACGGGGCCCAAGGTGATGGGAGAAGGGAGGGCTTGGCTCCCCCCTGTACCCCACCCTGCCATGTCCCATCCACTCCTTGCTCTCCTCCTACTGGATTATGTAGTGGGCTTCTGCATAAGACTTCATTTAAAGTCCCTTCCAGACACCAGAGCCTATAATTATTAAAAGAAAAAAAATCACTACAATTTGCAGTGTGTTTAGGTTGGATGGATTAATTTCTTTACCAGGGCCATAATGGGAAGACTGATTTTGTCATTTCAATTACAAGGCACCGTTTAATTCGAGCCCGGAAGACACTTTCCCAGAGTTTCCCTCCACTTGCCTGTCACTGGAGCAATTAACAGTGGGTGATTTGTGGCTGCACTTTTACTGCTTAGCACAGGTTTATCATCTTGAAAGTTTTCCATTTGCATATATGCTATACATTCTTTGGGTGACATTTCGATACCGCCCAGAGTTTAGATTATGCATTGCCTTCCACCGCACTTCCTGCTACGTGCTGGGAATCTGCAAGCCCAGCCTGAGTGCCGGTGCAGACCAAGGGGAATGGGAGTTGCAGCCGCCACTGACCGAGGGCTTCCCGTGTGCCAGCCCTTAGTATCAAGGGCTTTACCTGCATTGCCTGATTTATTCCTCAAATCGATAGCCTTGAGGTTTCCATTGTTTGCCACGTTTTATAAATAAACTGAAATTTAGAGAGGAAAAGCAATTTGCCCAAGGTCACCCAGCTCCAATTAGCAAAGCTGGGATTCAAACTCAAGTCTGCCTAATCTCAAAACACTCTACTACCCAATCTCCCATCTTGGGAGCTTTCAGAGTGAAATGAATTGAATTTGACAGTTTTCCACTTTTAAATATCAAACTTCCTGAGCAGTCCAATTGCTGCTCTTTGGACTAAGAAAAAAATGGCTATTTAAAAAAAGCAAGGGGGAGGAGGTCAAGAAAATGGGTTTTAATATCTCTGTTGGTAAGGGAAGAGATGTAATCCTGGAAAAAAAAAAGTAGCATCAAAATGGGAACGATTATAGAAATTTGATGAAACTGCAAAGGAACACAGAGAAGATAAGGGAGTAATGAATATATAGTGGCATTGAAGAATTTCGAGAAGGGAAAGCAAAGATCAGAAGTCACTGAAGGAGTTAGAAGTTGGCCCAATTGAAGGCCAGATCTATCCATCTTGACAGATAAATGGAAGGAGGCTGATAAACCCAGGGTGCCAACCAGAGACCTGTGATCATATTCCAGTCTGCCTAGACGAGTTTAGAGGATACTCTGGAACAAGACTGCTGGGTGTGAATTTTTTTTTCCATGACTCGCTTGCTGGGTAACCCTGGACAAGTTACTTAACCTTTCTGGGCTTCAGTTTCTTTATCTGAACAATGAAGATTATAGCGTTGCTCATCTTGGTGTGAGATGGGGTAAAGTGCCTAGCAGAGTGCCAGGCAGAGTAAGCACCCAAAAAGGTCAGCTATGGCTGTTGTTGCTATAACCATGAGCATCATATTCATATAATGCAAGAAGTAGGAGGCTATAACTTAGCAAAAAGGCTTGAAGAAATGAAGGAGAAGGAAGTCAGGAGAGAGGTTCATCTTCAGCCAGGAAGTATGGGGAGATGCTGTCTTCCCTGCCCCGAAGCTAAGGAGGGGGAGAGGGCTGGATGGTGGGGAGCCCCTGCCTGGGAAGAGACTGAGGTCTGGATGTATAAGATGAAACACGGGAACTTGCTCCATTGCAGAGCTTCTGCTGGTGGCTCCACTCGGCTAGAGAATCTGGGACTAGCCAGAGTACTGAAGACGTGAGTCTGAGGTGGAAAGAGAAAGCAAGCTCTGGGTTATTCATCTTTGGATGCTGAAAGCCATTGAAAGTGTGTTGGGAGGGAGGACATGTTTTAATAAGCACATCTTCTTTTTCTAGCCCTTCCCTCCCAGCTGCAAATCTATTTCCCTTTCATTGGTTCCATTAAGAGATAAAACCACAGTTAAGCTGAGTATAGCAAAGCTTCATGATGTGCTTACAAATGAGCATGAGTGGTCATCCACTCTGTCTGCCACCGTTTATTTAGTTAGCACTTTCTTGATGTCAGGCTCTGGCTGGGTCCTGGAGACACAAGGCTGTTCCCAAAGCCAAGCCTCCGTTTCCAGAGCTAAATGGTGTGTCGTGTCATGGTTCTCAGCCATCAGAGTAACACATGTAAAATTCAGAAACTGCTGATGCCCAGGCTCTATCTCAGACCTACAGAACCTCCTGCCGTGAAACCAGACATTCTTATTTTTCTAGAACTGCATGTATCACTTTTATGTTCACATCAACCTTGGGAGAACCTTCTACGTTTTGTAGATAAGAGAGCCGAGTCTCAGAGAAGTTAAGTGATAAGTGAGATCGGACAGCTGGCAAGTACAAGCCGTGAACTTCAGACCCAGAACTTCTGAACCTAAACTGCCAAGGCCTTTCTACCTGGCCATGGCCACCCTCACAAGCATGCGTGGATAAAACTCCGTGCCTAAAGACTGTGCTGGTAAAATGATCTGAGGATGTAGGCAAATATGCATAAACCTGTGCTGACTACAGCAAAAGTTCAAAATAGATTAGCAAGTCTTAGAGAAAGTTCAAGGACCTACCTGTATTTAAAGTGGGCAGAACGCTATAAATGTTGCAATCTGACTCACCATAAATTCTACCCAAGGTGGATAGTGCAGCTTTTACTGTGTAAGCACCCATGATTACAGTTTCCATGACACAGCCCCGGTTCCTGGGCTCCAGAAACTCTGCCTCTTCTCCCTCTCTAGCCGAGGGCTGATTGAGGCTCCCTGCTATTGCTGGCCTTTAGGTTTCCTGTTGGCTGGCCCCACTTCTCCATCACCTGTGCACCTAACCCCCCACATTAAATTCCCTTCTAGCCCAGCTTACATCCTGACTGTGAGATGAAAAACCAAGGTTTAGAGAATTACATAGCTTACCCAATGTAGTGCTAATTCTCGTCAGAGTTAATATTCTCAACCCAAAGTTCCTGATTTCGACATTTAAGTGAGCTCAGTAACTTGCATTTAAGATGACTAGTGGAATTCCTGGTGCCCAATGCCAGGTGGTGATGGAGGTATGACAATGATGATGAAGATGATGATGATGGTGCTGGCATTGTTGGTGATGATGGTGCTGGCATTGTTGGAGATCATCACGCCTGACCACTGTTGTCTGTGCTCTTTGCTGGTACAATGTCCTGGTTGTCACTCAGATGTCTCTGTGTTTCAGGCCTTCACCTACCACCACATCCAAGAAATCATGGTCCAGCTGCTTCGCACGGTGAACCGCACAGTCATCACGATGGGCCGGGATCACGCTCTGATTGTGAGTAGACCCTTTCATCTTGTCAGACGTTCCAAACTCTCCAGATCTAGGTATGGATTTTCTGGAAGATCAGATCACATGGAATACCCAGCACTGATTGTTGCTTTGTTTGGGGGTACAAGGACCACGTTTTCCTGAGTTGGGAGGATGCGAAATTTAACTAAAGTTGTTGATATAAAACAAGGCTTAGGACTTATTTACTAAGTCAGGCGTGCCAGTGAGGGTTGAATGTCACTGGTAAAGAGAGAAGTAAGAGAAGCTTTTCTTAAGTGGACAAGATAGAATGTTCCAGATGCACGTCCACTGGAAACCTTTTCTTCTGGCCTAGAGTCACACAGTGCCCAGTCTCAGGGTCCTGTGAGCTTGGTTTTCTTAGTGGCTTCATTGCGTGTTAACTCTGCCCATGGATACCAGGTAATTCAAGGTCACTGCCGGTGTGGGCTTATTCTTCCACACAAACACTGTATTCTGAAGATCAGGCGACTTCTGCCACACGGTCTGATTATTTTTCCTCTCCAGACGCAGAACTCATTTCTAACCCTTTAACCTCTGCCCGTCTTGCTTTAAACCAAGGATCAAAAGTTCAAATGGGCACAGGGGCCAGTCACTAACATAAATGAGTATGTCCAACCATGTCACTCCTCCGCTCACACCTGCCAGGGATTTCCCGTTTCGCTCAACATAAAATGCAGATCATTTCCAGGCCTGAGATACCCTCTGCTCCTTAATCTTTCCTTTATGTGTTCCTCCCACGTATGAGACATGATTCCATTTGCTGTTTCCTTGGTATGTGAAGACTTGTTCTCTCGTTTTAATCACATCTTGGCTCAGGTATCACCTGTTCAGGGTGGGTTCCCTGCCTTGACCACCCTGTCTGACACCTCCCCATCCTCTTTCAGTCTTTATTTTTCTTATTACTTAGAACCTGAAATATCCATCACTTTATTTATTGTCTAGCGCACAAGAATATCAGCTCCAGGAGAGTAAGCATGTTTGTGTATTTTTTTTCATTGCTGTGTCTCCTGCAACAGCACCTGGCATATATTAGGTGTTTGATAAATATTTGTTGAATGAATAAGCGAATGAATGATGAATGAATAAATGACTTGTACTGGGCAGAAATTCTAATGTTTAATGAAGGGTAAGTGCTGCTCAGCTCTGGCTGGTTGATACCAGGCAGGATTGGGCCCTATAGTTTCTAGAATTCCCAATTTGTTAAGAGAAGCTGAAAACCTCCATGCTTTATGTGAAATTTTCTGATATTTAAGTGTTGGCAGTTAATTGTTTAAAAAAGTGTTAATGAACATGATATGGCCCCAAACAGCTGTATTTACTTTTCAGAAAGCCAGTCTGAGATCTGTGCTTTAAACTAGCCCAGCATGAGCCAGGTTTGGGGCCGCTGAATGACAATGTACTGTAGTCCTGCCCGCTGGCTGCAGGACATACGGTGCTGAGTACTGTTCTAACTGGAGCCGAGGGAGGATTTGATCTCAAGAAGCAGCCAGTGTGACATCACCTTTTCATCCATTCGCTTCTATCTGCTCCCGTCTACACGTTTTCACTTAATGTGTATTACGTGTAGTAAAGAAGTGGCGACATCCAGGGAGGGCAGCGGCAGTGCCAGGCACTCCTGCTTTCCTGGGCCAGAGAGCTGGGTAAACTGTTTTTTTTTTTTTTTTTTTTGGTCATTTGTCTCACTTACCAACATAGAAGTATCACCATTTCTTATTCAGTGACAAGCTCCCATATCTGTGGTTTCAATACATACCTTGGGTAAACGTTTTATAACCTTCCTAATCTTCATTCCTTCTCTTTGATGCAAACCTAAACATGATCATCAATCCATCTGCTCATTCTGTACATAGCAGACTCCTAACTCTCTTTCCTGCAGAGCAGTGACCCTTTAAAACAGGACCTGGATCCTAGACAGCACCAAATAAGTGGTGTCTGTTGTTATTTTCCTTCCTATCTGGTACAGCGAGGCTCTCTGTCCCTCTGCATTATTGAAGCAGGCAGGTGATCGGTCTGGTTCTCATTCCCTCCCAGCGCCCTGTGAGCCTTTAGTCTGATGCTCCGCCTTAGTGGCTTGTCCTTTCAACACGTACCCTCACTGCTGCCCCATCCATCTTTGCCAGGACACTCCTCTACTCTGGAATGTTCTGTGGCTCCCCACTGCCTACCAAATTAAGTCATAAATGCATTAGCCTGATCATTTCTAACTCCCATGATCTGGTCTAGCTACAATCATATCTTTCAGTCTTTTTAAGATGGACATCTAGATATTGCCCAAACATGTTAGCACTTTCAGGCGTAACCTCTGCTGCTTTCTTTGCCTGGAGTTCCTTTTGGTGTCTTCTCAACCCATTGAAACCCCACCTAGTCTTCAGGGTCTAGTGCAGAGGTAGCCCTTTAGGAAGCTGCCCTGGGTGGGACCTCTCCTTCTAAATCACACAGCTCTGCCTTTTTTAAAAAACAGTTTTATTGATGGATAATTTATATATATTTTAAAATTTAACCATTGAAAGTATTCAGTTTGAGTTTCAGTAATTTTATACAGTTGAGCAGCCGTTATTGTAATTCAGCTTAGAGCACTGGTTTCCCCAAAAGTTCCGTTTGTAGTCACTCCCATCCCACCCTCAGCCTCTAAGCAACCGCCCCTCTCCATAGGTTTGCCTTTTCTGGATATTTTATATAAATAAAATAAAATTTGAGGTCATTTATGCCTGGCTTCTTTCCTTAGCATAATATTTTTGAGGTCCATCCATATTTTATGATGTGTTCGTACTTCCTGCCTTTTTTTTGTTGAATAATATTGGATTATATGAATATGTAATATTTTGTTCATCCATTCACTAGTTGATGTATATTTGCATTGTTTTCAACTTTTGGCTTTTGTGAATAATGCTGCTATGAACATTCGCATGCAAGCTTTGAATGAACATGTTTCAATTTCTTGGGGGTAGATATCTAGGACTGGAGTTGCTGGGGCAAATGGGGAATGTATGTTCAACTTTATAAGAAACTGCCAAACTGTTTTCCACAGTGTCTGTACAATCCACACTCCCACCAGCAGTGTATGAGGGTTTGTTTACCCTCATCCCCACCCAAGTATTGTCAGTCCTTTGGGCTATAACAATTCAAGAAGTATCTCATTGTAGTTTACATTTCCATTTCCCCGATGACTAATGACGTTGAGCACCTTTTCATGGACTCTGCCTCTTTTTCTTTTTGAGTCATTTTTATCTGTGAGCTTGTCATAGCTCCTCTCTTAAACCATAAGGCTTTTCAAGGCTTGTATCTATCTATGGAATAAAATGAGAGTCATAATGGATCTTTCTCATACAGTTGCTGTGAGAATTAAATCATTTAATGCAGGATAGCCATTTGCACATGTGCGTCTTACACATACGTCTTAACACAAATGCATTTATGTGTTCATTCAACATTTATTGAGAACATATTATACACTCAGCACGAAGACTCAGAAATGAGTCAGCATGGTCTGTGTCCTAAAGAAAATCAGACCTCTTCTGACAGGGCATCCCTCGGGCATCTCAGATGCACTGTGCCCAAAACTCAACTCACCGCCAGCAACCTGAAGCCCACGCCACACTCCAACTGGATTCAGGAGCTCAGTTGGTGGCACCACCATCCTAGATGCACAGGTATCCTTGGCCCCTCCCTCTCACTCACCTGCCTGCCACTACCAATCGCCCACCAAGTCCTGCTGTTTTCAGCACATCTGGCCTGGCTCCTTCCCCAGTGGGGGCTGGACAAACCCCCCTGCCCCACTGCTCTTTGTACCTAGTGCATTGTAAGGTGATTTTTCTATTTTTGTGCTACCTCAACCCCTTGCATTCTGTAGATCCTCTAAGGGCAGGAACCATGTTTTGCTTATTCATTTATCCTCAACCCCTAAAAGAATACTTAACATATAGTGGGTACTCAATTAATGTTTGTTGGGCAAATGAAGGAACTAATGAGGGAGTGAATGAAATACCGCAATGTCATTTCATACCTTTATATTTTTGTCTATGATTTCCCGTAAGATTGCCTTTCCTTCTTCAACAAATGTGTTTTCTAAATATTGGGAACCCACATTTTAGGGAGTAAGGAATTGCTTCCTCAGATTTTCCCTGGACTCATCCTAGAGCCTTGCAAGGGTTGTAAGTTGCAAGCTGTGCCATTAGTCTCAATGACTCTGGAATTTGCTGGTGTAATTATAACGCCGAGAGTGCTGAGTGGGGAGGGCCAGGGGGCTGTAGCAGGCACACTGCACTAGGAGCAGGGATGTGCCTGAAATAACAGAAGAAACCAGCAGGTTTTTCTTAAGACATGGCTTCATCTTTATAAAATGAGCCTTCCCAGCAATTCCTAGAATAGAAATATCTCCTCCAAAATTAAAGAAAATGATGTTGGAAAGTAATTACTCAGGGGTCAGGGGTCTCTGACTTAGTGCTAAAGGCCCCAATTTAATTTCAAATTGAAATTTGACAAGGAGGAGAGATTCCCATTCCACCCGTCACTTTTAATTTTCCAGATGTGATTTTTTTTGGTTAGTTTCCATTGCTTGGGAATATTAAACAATCAATATTTATGGTAAATGCCAGACATAGTATATCGAAATCCTGAGAGGGCCCCAAATAAGTATGGGGTGGCTGGTTGCAACTCTCATTCTTATATGGGATTAGTGATAGTTTTTTTCTTTTTTCAGGAGTAGGCACACTGCGATAAAAGGTGCTGGCCATTAAAATCACAGGAGCTGTGGGGCTTGGCTGGCTCGCTTTGCAATTAGGATGTGTTGTTAGGAATGACCATTCCTGATTTTTCTGTAGACTACCTTCCTGAGCTAGGAACTGCTGATGGTGACAAATGAGCAAAAGAAATTTTTGCAGAAACCAAAAGCAAAACACTGTTACATGACTGGTTCCCTCTCTTCCTCTCTTTGTCACAGTCTAATCTGTCAGATAATGGCCTGTTTACTTAAATTCTCAAGGAAT